CGGATGCTGCGGACCCGGCAGCGTCCCCATGCTCCCACCCTTAGCGGTAATTAGCCGCGGTTAACGAAGGAGGAGAGCCAAATGCTGCTTTGCTTGGCCGTGGCATCGCGGCCACCGCATCGTCGTCCCCCCCCTCTTCGCTGCCGTCCCCTTCGACGCTCGCCTGTGTCGTAACACGACAAAAATAACCCGTTTTGGGGCTGGTGGGTGCGTCAGGGCTAAAAATACCCCGGATAAGCCGGAGAAAGGCATTTTTCAACACGCGGTTGCTTCCAGGCGCGCCGCAGGTAGCGGGCACTCCGCTTAACGAGACGCGCTTAAACCCAGAATGCAAAAATAACCAAAAAAAAAAAAAAAAAAACCACCAAAACACAAAAAAAAAAAAAACCAACCACACAAAAAAAAAAAAAACCACACCACCCAAACTTCTCCTTCCTCAAAGGGTGTTAAATGTTTTCAGATTTCGCTCCTTCCCGGGGCACCCCCGGGGCGTCGCTGCTCAATTCCCGGCTGGAAAAATCAAGGGAAGAGCTCGCACGGAAGGCAAACTCCCCTCTGCCCGGTTTTCCCCGAGCTCTGCCTGCCTCGACGGTGCTGCGAGGCCGGCGGTTCGCTCGTAAAAGCTTATTGGTTTTGTTTAGACGGGGAATATTAATTGCGTATTGAAACGAGCATCATCTCCGGCCGCCCACCGCCCCTCCGGATCACCTCTCCCCCTCCCAGTTGCCACCAACCCTAAGGGAGAGATGCTCCGCTTGGCCAAATTTGGCTTTATGAATCCCCTCGGGGCTGCCGCCGCCTCTCCCGCTCAGCTCAGCCTCCTTCAACTCTACTTCATTAGAGAAAGAAGGTTTTTTTTCCTGAACCACTCCATTAAAATAAACAAGAAAAACTGCCGGGAGGAGGCGGAGAGGAGCGCCCGTCGGCCGGGATGCAGCTCATCGATGGAGAGATGCGGAGAGATGGCTAAACGTCACCAGATAAAGCTGGTTTCCCCCTGTTCCAAAAGATGAGCAGCAAGTTTCGCTTTATATTTCCTAAAACAAAACGCTGGGAATAATTTCCTGCCCCCTCGGGGGCAGCCGGTCCCGTCCGAAGGAGCCGGACCCGAAGGGGTCCCGCACCCCGACTGCTCCTTGAGGGATTCTGCCGTCCCTCTTTTTCCTTCCCCGAAAGCATCTCCAACCAAACGGGGATGTCCACAAAACCGCGACAAGATCTGGGCACCAGCATCCCGGCGAGCCCAAATAAACCCCAACCCTTCAACCCCATGGCTCTGCAGGCATGGGGACACCGGTCACCGGGAGGGACCGACACCGTAAACCTTTACGCCGTGGCCAACCCAGCTTTCAAATTTGCCCTAAGTGAGGATGCTCACTTGCTTTTTTTTTTTTTTTTTTTTTTTTTTTTTTTTTTTTTTCCCCCCTTTTTTT